CTGTGTTTGTTTTCAAAAGTTTTACTGTTTAATATTTGCAGGAGGTTAAGCTGTTGTTGGTAGGAGAATTTTGGATTTCAGATGACATGAAGTTTATAATTTATGAGTGTTTTTATTCAATTTTATCTAGTTGATGTTTTCCAGGTCAGTTAATTATTTTTTTTTTTTTTTAGTTTTGTTTCCTGCAGGTGGCATTCGAAAGATGTGCAATGTTTCAAACAAAAGTTGTTTAGTGCATTGAATTCCACGACAATAGTAACTTGTATATTTTAGCGAGTTTATGATGCATTCGTTGTTAGTGAATTTGAATATATTTACTTGGTTGACACTTTTGAAGTTCGAGGAAAGTGTTATACAGTCAAAAGTCGTTAATCCGGACTCGTCGGGACTTCAGCGATTCCGGCTTATCGATTTTTCTGGATTATAGATCATCAGTTTAAATCTCGTAAGATGGCATGCAGAAATTCTAAAATTAAAAATATGAAACCGTAATTTATGAAATAAAGAACAATTATGATCTAAAGGGTATCAAAATTTGCAAAAAGAAAAAGCTTAATATTTATTTGTTTACTTTATTAAACATTTCTTTCAATGTAAGTTGTTTAAGTTTTGCTTCGTTTCATGTGATAATACTTTCTCTTTAATTCTATTAAACAGACATAATTTCTTGTTCAGTTACAAAGTTCCGCCGTTCAAGTCCTATAATTGCTGTGTCAAGAACACCGACTAATTTGTCAATCGAAATTTTTTTTGTTTTCAATAACCTCTGTCACGTTTCTTCGCTATCGGAAGCGAATTATAATGACGAGGAACTTGTTTTTAAATCATATCAAAGTCGGAGCATATCGAGATGAAATACTACATTTGGTAAGGAATTATAAGCCAAATAAAATAAAAACATCTGCGCTGAAGATAAGGATAGTGCTGACAAATCAACTTCCAATTTCATTACGCGCCCGCCGCCGAGCAGCGTGAAATTGATAAACAGATTTCGGATTTCAAAACATACTTTCGCTTTAGATCCTTTACATATTAACAAATATATATCGGAAATTCTATTTGATATAATCGAAAGTTTAAGCTTACCTTTATAAAATTGCTCTTACAGTCTGCAAAAAATAATATGCCGGATGCAATTCGAAAATTAAGGAACAACGCAATCATCAACATTAACTGAAATAGATAATTAGATAATTTTAGCTTATACGTCCATTATACATAAAATGCGCACGCTAAAACATATTCTGCACTTGCGCACACTCATATGCGCAGTCGTAAAAGGTCTTACGCGCAAGCGTGAACGCCTCTGCGCATGTGTCAACGCGGCGCATGCGCAGAAAGTTTTTAGTTTTGATGTCAGGATTATAGATCATTCCGAATTATGGGTGTCCGAATTAACGACTTTTGACTGTACAATTTATTATTTTATTCTTCATTATACTATTTTAGCATGATTACATAGATAAGACTATGTTTTTACTTGCAAAGCTGATAGACTTTGTTTTAGTCATCTACTATTTTATCATCTCGTTTTACTAATCAATTTACATAAAATAACGGTGGGCTAATCTTTGGAATATGGTAACAGGCAGTTTGGCAACATTTTGGTAGGCGATAAAGGTTACTACCTAGGACTTTGGCAATAATGTGAGAAGTTCCCAGTTCCAATTACGCATTATTTTGTGTGAGAGAAATGAGAGATCATGAGATATGTCATGTGACATTTATGGACGAATCACAGTTCTTTAATCGGAAAAGGGGGGGAAATTTGGAAAAATATCTGCAGTACTTTAAGTATTTTGTATTTAGCTTCATTGTGTGTTTTGTGAAAAAGTGTTGCTTAATTTTTGGATCCCATGGCCCTATGTAAAGTGAATTCGAAATTTTTATTGCGTTTAGCATTTTGTATTTAGCTTCATTGTGTGTTGTGTGGGAATGAAATGAGATTGTATGAAAGGAAGGATATTACAGATAAGTTTGAATGGCGGTGCAAGAAATCTGGTGAAAATGGACATTTTGTGATCCGCCATGCACTCAAGATTCTGTAGAAGATTAGGTAAGTAGTATGAGGATATTATTTTTATGCATTGTTCTAAATATAAGGAATAAATCAATTAATATGCTATTATTGGAAAATTTTTATTAGCAATGAATTAGTTTAAAGTAATTAAGATTTTAAGTTAATTTTTTAATTTAATGTATGTGTTTATTTATATTTTAAGTAATGTTTTTTTAATTTAATTATATTTTAATTAAATGATAGTTATTTTGTGAATTATATGTTTGTAGCATTTTAGAATACGTTTCAGTAGAATTGAAGTAGTTCAGTGCATGGAAATAATTTAAATATTTGACACTAAGTATTTGCAAACATTTTTAATGTTTGTGTTATAAATTCGCAGGTGACATTTATAATAGATAATTTAGAGGGAAAAGTTTTTGGATATTTTATTTATTTTATACATGCAAATGTTCATCTTTAGAAAGGGTATATACTTTTTCGCGATCAGGTAATTTCATATATGTCATTTTTACCGAATTTAAAGATTTACACAATTTTCCTGCATTTTCGTGCAAATTTTTCTAATTTATGAGAAAAAAGCAGTGTACATGGATAAAGTTAAGAGTATGCGCAATGCCTTTTTTGTGCAATTCTGGGATGTTTTTTTAAGTAAAAATAGGTCGACGTGCACATGGTTACCGTGTATGTGTCATTCTGAAAAACGCGGCAAGGAGTGCACTTTCTCCCAATTTTGCAGTTAATATTCGTCATGATTAAGCACTTTTGTTCCATAAAATTTCTAGCATAAATGTAATTTGGCAAGCAGATTGTTGGAAAAAATGTTGAGTAAATAAAAAGAAAAAAAACCTGTCTTTACTTCGTTAAGGCAAAATGGCGGCGAAAAAAAAAAGTAAAAGGTTGCTGTAGCAGTTTTGGTTGCCAAATTTTCGCCAAGTTACCATATTTCAAAGATTAACCGAACAGTGTTTTACTATGGTAAAATCCTAGTATACAGTGCAGCCTTGGCGTGATTTTGAAAATTATCGCCAACACCAAAATGACTCGTTTAACTACTCATCGTACATGTTCCGTTTACTGCTCATCATAAAGTCGCCAAAAGTAGCCAAATCCCTCATGCACAGGATACTAGGATTAAACCTTTTACTACTGTAGAACTTAAAAGTTACCATTCTGTTTACATTTAAAAATCCCATCTTAGTGCTCTCATTGAGCCAAAAAAATTTGCAAAATTTTGAAGGCCAAAACAATTTAACACCAACTTAGCCCGGTTGTGGAAGATTAGCCGCCAAGAGGTGCCTGTAAATAGATTTTTACCACATACTACTATAATTATGAAAAGGACTTTGGGAAGCACTTCCGCAGAGAACCCGGTAAATGTAAACATCGCCAACTTTGGCGATAATAGTTCAAACTTGGTAACCCAGCAGATTTATCCTATTCGCTTGTTCGAAGTTCGCAACCATTCCTCTTGTGTTCACTTTGTTGAATTATCACTGTTGTTGTTCGCATTTATTATTCTCTTATTTATTATTATTTTTTCTGAATTTTTTAACAACGAATAGATAGAAATATTTTCGTAGATAGATGCCAATTCTCGGTTCGGGATGAAAGAAAGAAAATATGGCGGGAGGGGTGAATGCTAATTCCCGCCATATTTTCACGACTATTCACGTTGTGTTCTTAATTATTAACGGCTGTAAGCATGCAGAACTATGAGGTTTCCAACCCCTAAAACAGTGGCGTAGCTAGGGTGGGGCAAGGGGGGGATCTGTCCCTGGGCGCAGCATTCAAGGGGCGCCAAATTGATGCTACGAAATTTTTTAATGAAATATTTTCCATTTCTGGCACACAGAAAGGGACGCAAATTCTTCAGTTGTCCCTGGGCGCTAGAAACTCTAGCTACGCCCCTGCCCTAAAATAATTTGTTTTCGTAGGCTGCAAAAATATGCATGTGCATTTTATATAATTAAGTAATGCTTTTATTTTTATTATTGGTTATTGCATCTAAAACTATGAGAATGAATAAATTTTTATTGCGTAAAATTTTAACAAGATAATATATTGTTAATGCTTAACAATAACCTTTCAGAGGATGGCAGGTGTGATATAAATAGATGATTAAATTGAAATAAAAAATATGATTATCTAAGATGACAGAATAGTTTGATGCATCACCATGGTCATCAAAATTAGCAAACCACTGCTGGTGTAAGGAATATATTGTTTTCTGTGCTAACTTGAATTTAATACATATTTATTTTCGTATATCACGCTTAACCAGTTAGTTTTACATCTACATGCTTATTATCTGTGAATTTTTACTACCATATGCTTAATATATTGTTTTGTCTGCTAACTTGAATTTACATGCACTAAAAATCACGTTTACAAAATATCACGTTTACGGCTCGGCTCATCGTCGATGAACCGCGAGCTTGGCGAGTAAAAATGCAACGGCGCCAACGGGTTCTCTGCGGATGAAAACCCGGACTTCGACCATGTTATTCATCATATTACAAATTCGTATTATATACATATTATCACCATAAAATCTTAGTTTGTTATTTATCATTTAATATCTAGTAACCAATGTCCTAAAAATGCATGGATTTCAATTATGTACTTTCTCAGAAACACCAATGCCTACAAATAAAATTAATAGATCGATAGGTTTTAAATGAATGGAAATAAATGCACACAGATATTTAACAGTCTTTTTTAAACATCCTGAAAACAATTATACATGATAATTTCATAATGAACTGTTGATCTTCAGATGATCAGAACAATTAAATCAACACAAACTTAATTTTACACGTCGATAAGATATGCATATTGATACTCAATTAATGGTGTTGTTGCATTATATTATTGCATGAGTAGTCGAATATGATAACCTTTTATCTACGCACAACTATAATACAAAACTAGTCTATCAAACATTCCCTTCAGAAACCCGCTTCAATACAAAACTCACCGTTCGCTGAAAGTGTTTATTTTTAAAATCATACGCACGGAGTATACTCTGTGATCATAGGAAGTGTCTACCCGTACGACGTCGGACGGCTAGCTCAAACATAGTAAAAATGCTAAACGTACGACTGGTTGCGCAGAGACCATCTGCGCATGAACATGCCTCCAATGTGGGAAGTGTCTACCCGTACGACGTCGGACGGCTAACTCAAACATGGTAAAAATGCTAAACGTACGACTGGTTGCGCAGAGACCATCTGCGCATGAACATGCCTCCAATGTGCCACTAGCGTCTACATCCCAAAACGGCAGCCTATGAGAGAGGCGATTCTATTATTTTCATCGGGGAGTAGGGGAATTAGAATGGTTTTCTGAGGAATGCAACAGCAAATTTTTAAACATTAAAAAATATCTTCTCTTCTAATTATAATAAATAATGAGATAATGCATGGATGAATTGTTAATTATATGATAATTATGCATTTAAAAAAAGTTTTTAATAATGAACTATAAATAATATTTTTAATTATCGATGTATTGTTTTTTAAAAGATTTACAAGTCTTAAGCTTGCGTTCCGTTGTGTTAAATATATTCACTTCATCTTAAATCTTCTGAAGTTTAAACAGATAAACGCGGATTTATAAAGGTAAATTATCTATTTGCCCTTTATCAGCAAACCAAAAAAACTGCCTAATATTTCCCTGAAAGTAACCGCAGAAACTAAGGCAATCCACCTTTACAATTTTCTGAACTTCCTAATGTAAGCAAACATCGTGCACTGCCGTTGGCATTCCTCAGAAAACCATTCTAACTTCCCTACTCCCCGATGAAAATAATAGAATCGCCTCTCTCGTAGGCTGCCGTTTTGTGATGTAGACGCTAGTCCAATGCAAAGCTGTATATATAATAAAGCGTCATCAGCTCAATGGACGAACCTGCGCTCTGTCGCGATCGCAGCGCTCCTGGTGGTTGCGCTGTGGAAACACAATTAATTGAACTGCGCATGCTCCCCATTTACAGTTGTTTTTGAACGTAATGCCCATGCTGGTTTCAAGAGCTCCTGCATTGATTTGACTCACGCACATTTTTCTTTGCAGTTTCTATCAAACGGATCTTTTCAGACCCAATTTCATTATTATTTTCATTTTTCTGACATAATGGCTTATCGCTACTGCAGATTTAAAGGCTGTAATAGAAAGATTGAATCAAAAAGTGATGGAATACATTTCTACAGATTTCCCAAGGAAGAACAAAGGTTAGTACTAAATTATTTTATGATTTCTTTCCACTTTTGTCATAAAAAATTATTTCGTTAAATTTAATTTATTTGTATCTCATCCTGAACTTTTGCTGAAAAATTTATAAAGTACCTCAAACTCGGAAACAAAAATTGATATTTAAAAATTCGGCTTAAGTGCAGAATCGCCCATTTATTTGTTTGGCGTTTATTTGCCGGTTCAGAAACAAAAAAAGTGAAGCTTAGACCTTTTCTTCCCGCAATATTGCACATCCAGAGTTATTTATATTACAGTTCCTTTAGGTTTGGCACATTATAGCCACCTAACCCTGTTAAAAGTAATGGTGTTATTTTTGAAGCAACTTAAAAGTTGTTAATGTATTGCTTTTTTTTTTTTGTGTGTGATCTGGATAATCAAAAAGTGTTAAGAGAGAAATGTTTGAAACAAAACACATTTACAGTACTTTTACATTAACTGCATGCTAGACTAAGCTACTGGCGTGAATTATAATAATAAAAAAAAAATGATCTTTGATTGTTAAGGTGAAATGATTGATAAAAGAACATGCTTTTAGTTTGTAAATCTATTTTTAGGAATAGTTTACCAATTATAAAGGTGTAGGCAAAATGCACTGTTTACAATAGTAAACAAAATATGGATGTCCAAATTACAGGTAAACGATTACGTAATTGGAGAATGGGTATCAATAGAATAATGAAGTTGTTTTATCCAAGTAAAGTGATAAAAAGTAAATGACTCTTACTGTGTGAACGTGATGATTCCCGTGGGCCATGAAATTTGCTGTTTTGGTCCCCTTAGATTGAAAAAAATATTGTCAAATTTATTTTTCTATTCATTTTTGTTATTTGATATGAGAAAAAAAAATCGTATTAGTAGTCCGTATGACATTTTCATGGAGAGGATTGGGGGCAAACCTATAATAAATTGTTCAATGAAGACACTAGTTTTGCTTTCATCTTTTCAGGAAATACAGGCTTCAATTTAAATGTAGGGGAGAGGGATAATTCACATTAATCAATATTTCATTATCTGTTATTTAAAAGTATGCTGGTGTTTCATAGATGCTTAAAAAAGTAAAATTGCTTCATGGAGAGGGGGCAGTATTAGGGTTATCTCCAGAACACTAAATTAATGCAATTTATATTATACATTAAACTAATGCAGTTAATATGTATAGTTATTTATTTTCCATCTTTTTTTGTTTTAGATGTCAAGCTTGGGTCAAGGCTTCGCAGAATGAAAAGCTTGTGGGTGTTCCTGCCTCTGACCTACACAAAAGAGCCTATCTATGTATGGTACATTTTGAAGACTGGTGCTTCGTTAATATCACTACTAAACATCGTTTAGTACACAATGCAGTACCATGTTCTACAAAACTCCAGGTGACAAAGGGTTTGGTTCCAGATAAAGTGCCTGAGTTAAGTCACATGACAGTGCCAAATTCTGTGACAAATGGTTCAGTTCGAGATAAAATGCCCGAGATAAATCATATCACAGTGCCAAGTTCTGAACATCATCAGTCAGATTTTCAACAGGAATTAATATCCAATGTTCAAGGACCCAATAATCTTTATCAAAATGTCTGCTCCACTGAACTTTCAACTTGTAACGCATCTTTAATGTCTCTCATTCCACAGCAGTCATTTTCAACACCAGTGAGCTGTAGCACACACCGAAGTCACATTATTCTGGGAAAAAAAATACACACCCAGAAAATCACAATTGTCAAAAAAAGTTAAAAAATATCGTGACATGGCAAGACGGCTGAAATTAAAATTTGTGTCATCTAAGAAGAAATTTTCTACAGCTCATTCTCTTGAAAAAACCCTTTCCAGTCAAGGAGTTAGTAAAAAATTATCTTCTTTTATTCAACGCCAGGTAACATTGAATACCCAGAAAACAAAAAGAAGACGTTTTACGCATTCAGATAAAATCGAATGCCTACCGCATCTACAGCAAAAGTCGGGCAGCTTATCGTGTTTTGAAAGAGTTCCTTGAACTTCCAGCTGAACGAACTCTTCAACGTTTTGTCTCATCAAAATTGTCATGTACAGGAATCAGTGCAGATATCATATCAGCACTAAAACAAGTTTTACAAAATAAGGAAAATCACGAAAGAATGTTTGCATTGATCTTTGATGAGATGTCATTGAAACCCTGTCTAGTGCATGATAAACAAAATGATCGCATAGTTGGATTTGAGGACTTAGGTGGTTTTCCCAGTGATTCAATTGCAAATCATGTACTAGTATTAATGCTGAGAAGTTTAACCAGCAAGAAGAAACTTCCACTTGGATTTTACTTCTCCAACCATGCAATAAATGCAGAAAGACTGAGAGAAATACTCACAGAAGCTTTAACAAAATTATCGGATGCTAATGCCGTAGTTAAAGCTCTGGTTTGTGACCAGGGGGGGAAATAATAGTAGGTTGTTTAGAATTTTAGGAGTGGATTCTCTTAAACCATTCTTTGATTTTAATGGACAGACTATTTATTGTTTTGTTTGATCCACCACATCTTTTGAAAAATTTGAGGAGGAATCTTATGAAGTATGACCTGCAGACAAGTAAAGGATTCGTATCTTTCAAATACATTCGAGACTTCCATGAAGTAGATAAAACACTGCTTATCCGCTGTGCACCGAAAATGACTGATGCACACTTAAATACAATGGGATTAAACTCCATGAAAGTTGCTCTTGCTGCACAAGTGTTCAGCCACACAGTAGCAGCAGGAATGAACCTGTGTATTTTGTCTGGACTGATAGAAGCAAGTGCTGCTCCAACAGTAGAGTTCATTCTAAAGATTGACAATTTGTTTGACTCCATGAATGGAACTCGAAAGAATCCTTTAAGAGGAAAACAGCTCCATTGTGCAGTGAAAGAAGGTTCTGCACATATTAATTTTTGGAAAGAGATGATAGCATATGTTGAATCATGGGTTTTTTTGCAACCGCTTGCACAAAACCAAGATGGTCCAAGAAAGCATGCTTCAGGACCACGTAGCAGAATAGGCTGGTTGCAAACTCTCAGAGCAATACTAAAACTTTCTGAAGAAATGTTACATGAACGGGAATATTTTATGACAAAGAGGTGCAATCAGGATTGTCTTGAAAATTTTTTCAGTCGTATCCGAGGGAGTGGGGGCAATCGCACAAATCCATCTGCTTATGAATTTTCTTCACTTTTCAAGATTGCATGTGTAAATTCTTTCCGTAACACAAATAAGTTTTCAAATTGTGAGCCAGATGGGGATAAATTTATGTTTTTCATTTTGTCTGCAGTACCATCAACTACAATTGAGGAAAATGAAGTACAGAAGGAGGAGGTGAAAGAAGGACAAATTACAAGTAATGATGATTTTGATGACTCTCTTGTCATTGATTTTGATTCCCCTTGTCAGGATGCATGTTTTGAAAGACTTGATAATTTGTCACAAAATGTTGTTGCTTATCTGAGTGGATATTTATCCAGAAAGGTATTATATTCCTTGAATCTTAATGAGTGTGATATATGCAGTATTTCACTGACAGACAGAACAAAGCCAATGCTGCAGCATACTCTATTTTTATACCTTAAAGAATATAAAAATCAGGATATAACGGAAGGAGGATTGACACATCCGTCAGAAAGCATGACAAAATGCATTGCTGAACTTCTTCAGAAAGCAAATAATTTTTTCTCCCACCACTTGCCAATATGTAACATTTTGCAAAATCTGAAAAATGTGTTATCACAGTTACCAGTGTTTCAGTTTTTGTGCTGTGAACTTCATTCAAATGATGTTAAAAAGAAGATTGTATCTTTTGCCTCTGCTTTTTTTTTTTAAAAAAATTCATCTTCGGGAAAAAAATAGAAAAATTAGTAAATATAACACAGATCTGAAAAAACTACAAAAGGGGAAACATTAATAGAAATGTAATTAACTAAATTAAAAGCAAAGGGTGTATGTGCTACTTTGTGTGAATTGCTGAGGGTTTTTTTTTTTTTTTCATATTATTATTATTATGTATTATTATGTATGGTTAGTATGCTACAATAATGTGTGAAATATATATTCTTTCTGTTGTAAACATTGTGTGCATATTCCTCATGGATATTTCTTTTCATTTAACCTACTGTTTAAACCATTATACTATTTTATTATTCATATTGTATATTACTATTGTAAAGCTGTCATTTTTTATGCTCTATATTGCAAACAACGTAATTTAATGTATTGATAAAAATAAAAAATTAAATTAATTATTACTTGTCAACAGTTTCGTAAATGTTATTTCGAAATAATGTTCAACTTGTTATTTCGTAAATGGAAATGAAAATATTGCTTTTTCCATTTTCACTTTGGATATTCTAAATTGCTCTAATGTGTACAGCATTGAATTATGTCCATTTTAAGGTAAATTTGCAGAAGATAATTTCTTATGAGTTTCCAAACATCTTTTCAAAAATGGGCTTTCTTATTTCCAAAGTGAATTGTGTGTCAATACAAATCATTTGAACCAATTATGGCATGACATCTAATTATCACTTTGGTATTCATGCTTGTTTCAGTATTTTATGGTGGCAATTATTTTGTTATTTATTTTTTAAGTGTTTTAATGCATTATTGAAAATATTTGTTACATATACATTTACAAAACTTTGAATTTTTAACAGAGATATAAAAGTGAAGCAGCTTATGTTTCCACTTCTCAACTTTGTTTATATAAGGGAATAATAATAATTATTGATTAAGATAAAAAATTGATACTTCTTAATTTATAAGCAGTGTAAAGACAGGAAATCTGAGATCATTAATTTCTGAGACATAAATAGCTTTCCAAGATGCAAATAAAACAGCAATGATCGTAAATATTAATGCTCCTAAAATATATCTGCTTTTCCTAACTGATTTTTGCTTTTTGATCCAAAACTTGTTTCATACAACTTTATTTTAACTAATTATGAAGAAACTTTATACTTGTTTCCTAAACAAGTATTTATGTGTTTGTTAAGTGAAAACAGGTTGATGTGTACATGGTTAAAGTGAAGGGAATGTGCAATGCCAAGTTTGTGCAATTCTCTGATTTTTTTGAAGTGAAAATAGGTCATTGTGTACATGGATACCAAGTTAAAATTTAAAAAAAAAAATGCCTTTGCTTCGTTAAAACAAAATGGCGTCGAAAAACAAACTCGCAGGGTTGGTCGCCAAAAAATCGCCGAGTTACCTTGAAGTAAAGATTCACTAAGGTCATTTTCAATAATAAAAATATATTCAAGAAACACTATGACACAAGATTGGGTGTTAATAAATCTATCACTATTGAGCGTTGAAGCTGAAATGGATGTTCAAGTATTGATAAATAATTTTGCAGAAATGAAGGTTAGACAC